TTCTTTTTTAGACAGGGTCTTGCTTCCTACCTCAGGCTGGCCTTGAACTACGGCAGTCCTCTTGCCTCAACCTCCCACTCGCTGGGAGCACAGGCATGCATCACCACGCCTTGCAGTGGTGGTATCCCCACTTTCTCTGCCTCTCAGTCCCCACTGAGGGGCCCCCACATCTTTCTGAAGGCCTCTGTCCAGGGCTCCTCGCAAGATCAGGGTCTTCCATGCTTCCGTTGGCCTAAAGGTCCCTTTTCCTCCCCAAGAGTGAACAGAGGTGGCAAGTGTCCTGGACCTTCTGGTGCCTATTCGGGACTCCAGGGACCACGAGGGACACAAGACAGAGGCTGAGTCTCTCAGAGCCCAGGCCCTCCTGCCCTGTGCCTGCCGCATCCCCACCGGCCGGCCCATGTGGAATGCTTTATAGGCGGCTACAGGGTGCTGCGCAGTAAAACCATTCAGGCGCGCAGCTGCCCTGGCAAGGAGGGGCCCTAAAGAGCAGAGATCACAAGGTCCCCACTCGGGCACCCAGAAATCAGGGAGGGGCGGCAGTTGAGGCTGTTCCGGGCCGGGCCAGCAAGGGTGCGGCCCAGCGGGTCCAAGGCTGCTGCCCTAGCGGGCCTTGACCTGAGCTCCAGAGGGGAGGTCAGGAAGCCTCCTGGGGCAGGAGCTCCGCAGGGATCCTGCTCCGTCCCGCCTTCCTCATCCCTAGACTGAAGGTGTGCTAGAGTCAGGTTTTCCGGGTTCAAACCCCAGCTACGCCCCATTTGACAGCTGTGTGACCCCGGGCAAGTTTTTCAACCTCTCTGGGCCTCATGTTTTAAATGGGATGACATGACGGCGGCACTTAATCATCCACACGGGTTGATCCCAGGCAGGCAGGTCGCTGGGAGGATTAAGTGGGATATACACCGCATTAAGCGCGCAGATCTCGGAGCTGCTCGGCCCCAGCTGCCCATCATGCCTGCCTCCTGCTTCTTTCCTCCTCGAGCTCGTATGATGCTGTTATAGGCCCTTTAGTCCCCTGGATATACACGGGCTGCATGGAACTCATCTCAACTATAAAGCGCAGGGTACAACAAACCCCTTGTTCTGAAAGCTCGGAGGAGTGGCCTTGCTCTTTCACAGTCCAGATTAACTTTTGGACGGATTGTACCACAGGCTGCCAATCACCCCCAAACAGTGTATGGTTTAGTTTTTCTCATTCAGGAGGCTTAAAATGCAACCAGGAGCTGGGTGTGGTGGCACACGCCTGTGACCCCAGCACTCAGGAGGCTGAAGCAGGATTGCCAAGAGTCTGAGGCCAGCAGGGGCTACCTAGAGAGTTCAAGTGAGATCCTGTCTCAAAAACCAAACCAACCCCCTCCTCCCCTCCAAAAAATTCAAGTTAAAAAATAAAAATGCCAGCAGGCTAGCTCGGTCCCAGGCACTACTGGCTTTGGCCCACTGTGGGTCCACGCGGGGAGGCATTTCCTACGCTCCCCTACAGACCCAGGACGTGTCTGATTTTCCTGGGGGCGTCAGCGCTCACAGTCCAGCCCTCCCGGCACGCCCCTCCTTGCCTGCCTGGTAACCCTGACTCATCCCGGCCCCACGTTGCCCAATCTCGCCTCTATCCATTGGTTCATTCATTGCTGTGGGTCCTCTCTAGGACTAGCTCCATGCTGTCCCCAACTGGCTGAGGCTCGGGGCCACAGGGGGTATCTGAGCACAGGCCAGTGTTGTTGGGGCCCCAGGTAGGCACATCCTTTCCCTGGCCTGGTCAAGGAATCCCAAATGTGGCCCTGAAAGCGCTGAGCCTGGGATGCAGTCAGGCCAGCAAGGGAGAGAGAGCAGAGAGGAGGTCGCCCCTGAGGAGGGGCTATGATTGCAGGGACAGCGTGGATGGATCAGGTGATCGACCCATCATTGGGGCTGATGCCAAGGCCTAGAATGGGGGAGATGGAGAGGTGCTGAGGCTGCCCCCTGCTTCCTGTGGCCCTGGAGGGTGCCGCCCAGCCTGAGCCCCATTCCAAACCAGGGGCCTCCACTCTGTATTTCTCTTGGGAGGAAGATTACTCTTCAATAAAATATCTCCATCTTACAAAGCTTTTGTGAGCCGTCACCAGGAAGGAGGAGCCCCAGAGGGCTGCAGAAAGGGCCAGCTGGGGACAGACTTTTTAGAGTTTTGACAGAGCCTCTGTAGGGATCCCTGTGGCAGAAACCTAGTGTCAAGGCCTGGGGCAGGGAGCCCGAGGTGTGGCCAGGAATGTGACATCAGTCACCATCACTCCATGGATGGAATGTGGGAAGTCACAAGGTGGGGTGGGGGCGAGGCAGCACCCCATCCTGGAGTGGCTGGGAAGATAGGAGAGGCAGCTGGGGACCCAGTGAGGCGGGGAAGCTCCCCAAGAGCTGAGGCTCAGAGTGTGGGGGAGGCTGCGGCCTGGGGCAGTGTCCACGGCCTGACCCAGGGACAGGGCTGCAGGGACACTGCGGGAGGAGCAGTGCCTGGACACCTTGTGTGTGTATGCAGGGACTCTGTGGGGGAGTTACTTTCTGAGGACACAAGGCGGAGCCTCAGCCCTGGGCAGGAAATGCTGAGTAGTGAAGCGGACCCCTTTCCCATGGGCCCAGAGATGGCTAGGAACCACATCTCGGGTTGTTCGGGTCACACAGCACTTGGTTGGTTGGGGTTAGCAGCACCATCTCTCAAGTCCTGACTTGTGGGGCCCTGGATCTGGGGCAAGGGAGAGCCCAGCAGTGTTCAGGGGTGGGGAGGACGCGGCCCTGTCCCCTCCTCACTGCCCAGGCAGCCAGAGGTCACCCCAGCACTGTGCTGTGCTCACAGGCGGCTGCCTGCCTTCTCTGGGCCTCATCTGTTCCTTGGAGAAATGGAGCCCATGGGAGAGGCATGGGAGACTCCCACCAAGGCTGCTCCGGAGAAGGAACCCACCGTGCCCAGGTCAGGGCCAATTCGGGCAGAGGGCCTGTGACAGGGCCCTTCTCCCTTCCAGCCTGTGTTTCCCCATCTGGGGAGCAGGTGCTCCTGGGCAGGTGTCTCACGTACTGGGTGCTGCCAGGAGCTGGAAGGCTCTTTCCTTCCTTCTCCCTCCTGGCCCTCACTTCCTGGGGCACAGCTTTGTCCCTCAAGGACACTCAGGTGTCCCTATCCTGCCCCCCCTTGTTCTGCCAACACCCTAGTCCAAGCAGGGTCACATTCTAACCCATGGGAAGGACCCTCATTGCTTTTTTCTTTGTTTGAGACAGGGTCTCACTATGTAGCCCAGGTTGGCCTCAAACTTGTGGCAATCCTCCTGCCTCAGCCTCCTGAGTGCTGGGCTCACAGACACATACCACCCCCGGCACTCTCCCCTGTTCTTGGAGGGCTTTGGAGGGTTATCCTGGGAAGAAATGGGGTACAGCAAGCCTGCAGTTTTACTAGGCAGTTCCTGGGTGCCAAGCACCCCCTAATCAGGCACCAGGGAGGTGGCAGCTGTGGGTCCCTTGCATAGAGGAGCAACAGGGGCTGGGCTGACTCAGTGCCAATGGCCCAGAGGGGTCCTGGGGCCACTAGCTTAGTCCCTGTCCCCCAAATCCCAGGCTTTTGGGCCACCTCACCTGAAGATACTGTTCTCAGAGTAGTCCGACATCTCTGGGGCGCAGGGCCCGTCCATGGCTGTGAGCGAGGGGCAGGAAGAGAGTAGCCAGCTAGTGGCGCGCAGCCCGCGTCTGTCGCCGAGCGAGCGCCAGGTGCCAGCCAGATGCGACCTCGCCCGCCCAGGGGCGGGGCAGCAGCCGGTTCGCCAAGGTGCTGCCCACGCCCCGCGCGGCCCGACGGGAGGGACGGGTACCTCCGGGCTCCGAGGGGGCGGGAGAGGAGGGCGGGGCAGCGCCGCCCGGACCAATGGCACCTCGGAGGCGGCTCTGGCACAGCCCATCCACCCACGTTGTTCGTTCGTTCATTCATTCATTTTTTTTCTTTCTTTTTCTTTTCTCTCTTTTTTTCCTTTGAATTTTGGGGTCAAAGTCTTGCTCTGAAACCCAGGCTGGCCTCACCCTGGTGGGATCCCTGCTACATCAGCCTCCCAAATTCTGGGATTGCGGGCGTGGGCCACCGCACCTGACTTCATTTATTCTTTTGTATTTCTTCAAAAACTATTTGCTGAGGGCCGGGGAGATGGCTCAGTACAATAAGTGCTTGCCTGGCAAGCGCAAGGGCCTGAGTTCAATCCCCGGTTTGAAAGAAAGAAAGAAAGAAAGAAAGAAAGAAAGAAAGAAAGAAAGAAAGAAAGAAAGAAAGGAAAATGGGATGGGGAGACGCCTCAGTGGAATAAGCGCTTCCCTGGCAAGTGCAAAGGCCTGAGTGCAATCCCCAGTTCCACAAAAAATTAAATAAATAAAAGAGAGAGAATCACAGGAAAGTGAACAAAATTTAAAAAGAAAGAAAGAAAAGCTATTTATTGAGCATCTGCTGCCTGCTAGGTGCTGCTCTAAGTGCCCGGGGAAGAGCTGGGTGCAAGACAGTAACGGTGCCTTCCTGGGTGACATCGCAGGGGCCAAGTAACAGAGACACATGGCTGGGGTGACAGAGAAAAGGTCAGAGTGAAAGACACAGAGAGACCAAGGACAGGAAGGGTCAGTGATAGAGACCAAGAGGACAAGAGAGGTGAGAGACAGAAAGATCCTGGGACGGAGACACATGGAGAGACAGATGGTGAAAGACACTGATCGGGACAGAATCACCAGAGAAGTCCAGTGAGGAAGAGAGACAGACCCAGAGACGCAGCAGGAGCCCTGACTGGGGCTGCCCAGGCCTGGGGGACAGCAGCGCCTTGGTTTCCCCATTTGTGCCTGGCATCCACTTGGTCAGCTGTTGCAAGGACAATGGGGGCCACTTGGGGTGTGCGTGGCTGCTGGCCCTGTCCTCCCAAGCTGTGTGTTCCCTGCACTGGTCCCAAGCCCAATCCTTGGTCTGCCTGAGAATCCCAGACCCCCCAGAAGTGACATTTTTACTGAGCAGAAGAAATGGGCCTGGCATGTTTAAAAACACCTTCTGAGAGATGAATCAAGAAAGGAAATAAATTTGCTCTGCCACCTCCAAAACAACCTACCAAAAACATTTTGACAGGATTTTTTTTTTTTGCGGAACTGGGGATTGAACTCAGGCCTTTGCGCTTGCCAGGAAAGCACTTATTCCACTGAGCCATCTTCCCAGCCCCATTTTTTGACAGGATTTTTTTAAAGAAACTTATTTCTCAGGGGTCGCGGAGATTCTGGTCAGATGAATAAACACCTTCCCCCAAAAAATCAGCTTTTGTTTTGTCTTGTTTCTGGTACCAGGGGTTGGACTCAGGGCCTTCGCGCTGAACTACATCCCAGTTCCCCTTTGAGACAGAGTCTCAGGAAGTCTAAACTGGAAATCCTCCCACTTCAGCCTCCCAGAGTGCTAGGGTGACAGGCGTGCCTGGCACGTGCGGGCTTTAAGTTTTATTTACTAATTATTGTTGCACAGGAGAGGGAGATGGGAGAGATCATTCTGCTAGGGAAGTGAGGGGCGGCCCAGAGAGGGTGAGCGTCCTGCCGTGGACCCCGTGCTGCCTCTCGTCCCTCCCTCAGAGGGGCTGCCAGAAGGAGAGACACTGGAAGACCAGGAGGACCCGCTGTCTGATCTAGGGGGGAAGGAGTGATCAACAGGGAAGAAGGAATGACAAGGTGCACAGGTGACTCAGGACAGGGGCCTGGGAGGGACCCAGAGACACCGGCAACGTCCTGGCCATTGCGGCAAGGGAGGCTGATCCCATACAAACCCATCAGGGCCCTGAACATACGGGACTTGGGAGGGGGCGGGGCAGAGGCCGCAGGGGTCGCCCAGGTCTGGCCGCAGGGGCAGGAGGCGGGGCTGAGATCCACTCAGCGCCAGGGCCCAGCTGCTGTGCTTGACTAGGGTTTCTTCCTCGACCTCATGGAAACCACGCAGGAGTTTAATCCCCAACGTCTTATGTTACTGGTATTAGGAGGGTAGAAACTTAATCCAACTGTGATGTTTAGAGGTGGGGCCTTTGGGAAGTGATTAGGTTAGGTGAGGTCATCAAGGTGGAGCCCACGAAAGAATGGCGATGACTGTAGGCCCGCGAGAGAGGCTGCATCAGTGCGGTGAAGAGCTGGGGGGAGGGGCCTCGAGGGCCTGCTGACGCCTTTGTCACCTCTAGAACCATGAGAGGAATTAACTTCCTTCTTTATAAAAGACCAGTCTCATGTATTTTGTTATAATAAAGACAAAGTGGCCACTATAACATCCCTCTATCCATTTATTGACTTATTCCTTCACTCATCCACTATTCATTCAAATATTCGTTGATTCTTTATCTATCTAACCATCCATCCATCAACCTATCCATCTGATCACCCACCTATCCTACCATCCATCTATCCCATTATCTACCACCCACCCATCCAGATATCTATCCACCCACCCACCCGGCCACCCATCCATCCATTTCATTTACCCATTCATGAGATGCTTCCATCCACCCAAGGGGCTAGCCATCATTTTATCTATTCATTATCCATCCATCATCCATTCAACCACCTATCATCTACCCATTCACCCACCCAACTCCTCATCCATCCATCTATCCATCCATCTATCCTATTCGTGAGATTTTCCTATCCAAGGACCCATCCATCACCTGTCTATTCACTGTCCATCCATCATCCACCTACCCACCCACCCACCCACCCAACCAGGAATCCATTCAGCTCTTCACCTACCTATCCATCCACTCATCCGTTCTACTCCTTTTATCCATTCATGACACGCTCCGTCCATCATCCACCCATAACCTACTCACCTGTCCAGCCAACCATTCTTCCATGAATGCACCCATTCATCCACCGCTCTCCAGCATCTGGAGAGGTGTTCCTGCTCAGTCCTCACCGACTGGTTTTTGCTCCCTCACAAGACCGTAAGTAAACATGCTTCGAGCCAATCTGACCAAAGCAGCCATTATTTAGCACTAGAAATGAAGCATAAGTGACCAAGAGAAGAAAAATACTCACTTCCACTTCATTTTGTTTTTGGTACCAAGGACCGAACCCAGGGCTTCCAGCTTATAGGCAAGTCTTCTACCACTGAACTGAATCCCCAGCCCCTCCACTTCATTTTAATTAATTTAAATGTAGCTTTAATTGTGGAAATAGCGTAAAATACTTTACCCTGAAATACAGCAGAAATGCTTTGGTAAGACTACATTTCACTGGGTATGGTACATGCTTGTCATCCCAGCATTTGGGAGGCTGAGGCAGGACAGTCACCCTGAGTTTGAGATCAGCCTGGGCTACATATTGAGTTCAAGACCAGCCTGAACTACATAGTGAGTCTGTCTCAAAAACACAAAACAGAAAACCACTTTTTTAAAGTTTATTTATTTATTTATTTA